GAAGTTCAAGTACGCGCTCTGCCCTCCGGGGCAGGGCATGGACAGCCATCGGACGTGGGAGATGCTGCTGCTGGGGGTGGTGCCAATCGTAGAGCACTCGAGGCACCGCGCCTCCTCTCGTGGAGGCGCCCACCGACCGACGGCGTCTCTTCACGCCCCCCGCTGCGAATAGGATGGACTTCATGTGGGACTCTGGCGACCTGCCGGTGCTGGCCGTGCGAGACTTGCTGAAGCTGCCGTCGAAGGCAGAGCTCGAGGCGCTGTACGACGAGAAGTTCGGCTCGAAGATGGCGCTGTTCAAGCGCGCGCGCCTCGGCCGGCAGTTCTGGCTGGACAAGTTTGAGTCCTTTCGCCGTGGACACCTCGCCGGCGGGGCGGGTGCCGCAGGCGAGGCGAGGAGGCGGTGCTGGCACGGCAAGCCGCACTGGACGCGGGACGAGGCCCAGAGCTATTGTGCAAACAACGGCACCAAGCACAGCCCAGGGCAGAAGTGTCACTGGTCAGGGCACCAAAGATGAACGCGCTCTCCCTCAACGGACGTTTTCACTGGCCATTTCGAGGGGTTTGATGCATGATAGTAGAGCCGCATGCTGCCGATGAGAGACGCGGCGCGATGGCACGACTTGTATATGTGTGTCTTGAAGAGGACGCATGGGTGGGACGGGCGGTCGGGGAGGGACGCGACGTGTCGGGTGGGCTAAGTCATACCCGGGTTGCGGGTAACAAAAGAGGAATACGATTGGACCGCACAGAGACGAGCGAGTTCGCGCTGCGCCATGCGCCGTCTCCCCGCCCCTGTCGCCTGTGGCAACGAATTTTCGCCGTCGTATGATCACGGGGCAGTTCACCCTTGGGGACCCGCTGTCCAGGGACGACGGCGTGATCTCCCACGGTGGAAACCGGAGGCAGAGGAACGGACGAGCACAACGCAACATGAGCTGGCGCCAATGCCACGCCTCGTTGCGATCGGGGTCGTGGCAGTCGCCTGCTCGCTTCTCTTCTGCGCAGCGCCGCCTCTCGTGGCGGCAAAGGGCTGCATCAAGTCCCTGGCTCAGTGCGAGACCAAGCTGAGCGACAAGGGCGGAACTTCTTGCGGAACTTCTGACCAGCGATATGGCCGCCTTGCCCGAGAAAGGCTGCATCGCACAAGAGCGGCCCTGCGCGCGCCTCTTGCACGCGCCGCCAAGCGAGTCGCATTGCGAGTGAGAGCGCGAGAGCTGTTCTCCTTAGGCAAGAGGCGAGCCGTGCGCTGCTCGCCACTGAGTTTGGCGCGGCGGCGGGGGCCCGCACTGTGGAGCTGCGGCTGCAGCTGCCGGGCTGGGGTGCGCTGAGTAGTAGCGCCGCCGCCGGTGCTGGTCAGACGTCCAAGGGCGGGCCTGCCGTCGTACCCAGGAAATGGCACGCTACGGATCGAGCTCGCGGCGGACAATTTGATGCCAGTCTCGGTGTTGTACTTTCTGAGGCAGGTGGTCGGACTAAATCTCGGACTCTGTCGCCAGCCGCCGCGCCCCTCTCTCTTGGCTTATCACGCCACGCGCTCTCCCACCTCAGGTGCGCTCCGGGCTGTGGACCGGCGCCTCCTTCCACCGCAACGCCGGCCACGTGCTCCAGGCTGAAACCCACTCAAACGAAGTGAGATCCCCCATGAGGTCTCCGCCACTCCGCATCACGCCCACCCGTAGGCCGGCCTCGCGCACAAGGCGGTGCCAGCCGAGCTGCGCGCGAGCGTGCCATTCCAAGAGTACTCGCCGTCGCTGCCGCACGAGAAATTCACCGTCGGGTTCGCAGGGCGGCCAGGCGGGCCGGACTGGTACATTTCAACGGTCGACAACACGCGCAACCACGGGCCGGGGTCGCAGAGCCCCGACGCCGCCCTTTTCGGAGAGGCAGACCCGTGCTTCGGCAAGGTGGTGGCGGGCTTTGACGTCCTTGCGGCGATGCGA